AGCAGTTCTTTCCTGGAGGCGTTCTACTGCTCTGCCCTTTAAAGTCCTCTAAAGCTCTTTAAAATTAGGAGGCATTTAAGGTCACTTTTCCCCCCTTTTTTAAAAAGTCTTGTGTGATTGTTGCAACGTGTTTTTGATTACTGTCCTTGATGGAAAATTTCATCTCCTCATTTTATTCAGTATTTACGTACAAGCTTGTATTAGCGGTGGCGTCTATACACGTCATCTCCCTTATACCTTTGTGCAGCCCCACATCAGCAGACGTCCATTTCAGTGATTTACAGATGGCACACAGGTCCACAGCTAACACAGTCTAGCACATTTGATCCAAACTAATTCACATCATTGTCATGCCACTGAACAATGTGCTGGGCAATACCTATCAGGCTTTCTTTCATCTAGTATTCCAGTTTTGTGCTGTTTTGTGAGCACTGCTTTTGTTCTTGGATTGTTTCGTCCATGCAGTGTCCTTCTCATTGCCTTGATAGTCATGGGTTTGCACTGATAATCCATCCTCAAAATGTGCTTGATAAAAGATTTTCTATGTATATTTCAAATTTTCTTGTTTTTGTTTCCTTTTTGGGCTAATTACGTGATAATGTGACCTCATGAAGCCTGTAAACATCAAATGAAGTGGTTGCTGGTGGTACGGGAGGCTTAGCATACGCTCTTTGGTCGATCTGGTCAAAAATTTAGGAACCCCTGCATTACAGTAACTGAAGGACAAAGTTAAGCAGAAGTATACTTTTAGACTGAATAATCATGAACCTCAACCTTGCTAGAAGTTTTTTTTTTTTTTTGGCCTTTTTGCTTTGATTAGATAGGACAGTTGAAAGAGAGACAGGAAAGTGGGGGAGGAGAATGGGGTAAGGGATTATAGCAAAGGGCCATGAGCGGGATTCAAACTCATGACCACTGCATTGGAGACTACAGCCCTGTACATGGGTCACCAGCTCAACCAGGTGACCTAAAGTGGTGGCCCACTGTCTTATACTTCTGAAATATGACTTTGGAGCTTCAACCAAGCTACTGCATGTGTTGCGTTTCCATCCAACATATTCTCTCCAGGTTAAGTCTTCAGTTTGTTGCCTTTTAACTGATGGCAAGTGTTTTGACACATTAGGACAATATATAGTCAGCATCCATTTTCCTGTTATCATTCAACTAGTATGTAATGAAAAAAAGATGGTGTGGAACAACCAAAGCACAAAATTACTCATTTTTGCTCTAATTTTTCTTCTTGCTCTGTTTCAGCTGAGTGAGCATCAATGTGATAAGGTTTATTCGGTTGAACACACTGGCATCATCAAGCGTTCTCATCATGATGATGTACCACCATCATCCTTGCTATCTCTTGGGTCTTTTAAAGGGACAGGCACACTTTCTCCTGCCTCCCATCTCTTTCTCTCTCCCTTTCTGAGCATTTTTTTTCCCTCCAAAGCAGTGCTTCAGTCCGCTCTCCCGTGCAGTGATGTGAAGCTGAGCTGCATATCAGGCTGGAAAGAGTGGCTCCCTTTCTTTCACACTCATTTGATCGGGTTGGACTCCTTGGAGATTTTATGTAACAATGGCTTGAAAATATATGTCACAGGCAGTGCAGTGCAGAGCGTCTATTAGTCAGTGAGGCACACACTCGCACAGACACAGAGGCGTGCACACACTCACTCTGTAGCTCCTGCAGAGATCTGCTTGGTTTGGCAATGCTGAGTCTGACTGAGAACGATGCAGTTCTGCAGAAAGGTGCTCTGCCAGCCGTGTAGTGCCAGAGTCACTTCACCGGAGGAGGACATGGAATACAAGATGGGGAGCTGCATCGGAATCGCACACAGCCAGGTAAACAGAGGATGCTGAGCAGAGGCTGTCTGCAGTGAAGCATCGATGCCTGTGTGACTGAGCGGGGAGAGCCTGTAAAGAGGGGAAGGAATAGATCATACTGGTCAGGAGCTGAGTCTTTCCTCAGGCAACGCAGGGGAGAGAGGTGTATCCTAGTGTTGGAGGAGGGGCGATGTCAGCAGTAAAAAAAAGAAGCTGTGGGGACAGAGCTGGTTGTGAGGAAAGGAGGAGCTCAGTATCAAAGTGAGAGGGTGAGGCTGATCATATGTGGAGGAAGATGGAAGGCAGTTTGACAGATTCCAAAGAAAATGGATTGTGTATATGTATTGATTCATTCAGTAGCTAGAACAACAGGCCAGATAGGAAAGAGCTACACAGCATAACAGGAGGGAATAACTATGTTTGGAATATGCTGTGATGTTTGTCAGGAACAGAGCTGATCAAATGACTGTTATTTATAGGGATGATGATAAGTCTGCTGTCTCCACAGAGTGGACACTCAGCTGAAGACGGCCTGTGATGATGGCTGAAAATAGAGGATCCAAAATTCTGTTCAAACCCTCTGTTGTCAAAATCTCTAACTTTGGCTCCTGTTTGTTATCCTTGGCATCTGTGGGTTTGTGGCTGTGTGAGTGTGTCGTCCTGATGTGTCAATCACTATCATATGTAAAGGTCTGGATGTGCAGGAAAGCTACAGGTGGTATGATTCTATAACAGCATCTGCAGCGTTTTACATGATCAGCCAGGCGAAGCTGAGCTGGAAGGTCTGACACCTCCTGTCCATCTGAGCGGGCCTCTTTGTTTACAATCCCCCCACCTACCACCTCCCAAAGCAGACATGGCTTCTGCAGCTCCAGTTCGGTCTCCTCCCCTCCCTCCCCCTCGATCCTGTCCCCACTTCTGACCCTGTCCGGTGCAAAAATAGCAATGGAGAAACCGGGGCTCCTCAGAAGACAGGACAGAAACATTGGCCTTGACTCTGACAGTAAACACAGACTGGAGGGGTTTGTCAAAGCTGGGGGCAGATACTGAATGTGGAAAAGTCTTTGTTTGCAGTGTGGTGAGTAGCTTGTTGGTGTGAGTTGTGGATTTTAGATTCTTTGTTTTGTTTTTTTTGTCCTTCAGATAGAGGAGGGAAAGGATTAATGATAAGGCTTACACCGTATGACTGTGTAGCTATCATCCCATTTAATGTAATGTAAGAATATTAATGTATTAGTCAGGCTAATGAACATGGTTGTCATCACAACTTAATCTGCTGCAAAGTATAATTACATGCTTTCGCTGGTTTCTTACCTTGCTGAATTAAATAACCTGAGACGTGCTATAGCAAGTTATTTAAAAATTCTATCAGAAATCCAACATTGTGTTTAGTTCCAATGTTTTTTTTTTGTTTTTTTTTGAGTGGTTAGAGAGGTCAGACACAGGGCAGGAAATGGTAAACTCACACTGTATGCGTCTGAGCAAAGACATATGGTGCTCATCCAAACCCAAGAGCTTAAAAGATGGCTTCCCGTTGAGTGATGGACAGGCCATGATGAGGTGAGAAGAGACCTGGCAACGCTCTAATCATATGATTTCCCCACGGTGCTTTCTGCGCTGCCAAAAAGCCCCGAAACACTGCCGCCAGTTAAAGTGCACACGAGTGAGTATGCAGGCTGAAATTACACCCCCATTCACACAAATAGCAAGCGGGCGGGCTTGGCGGTTGAGCTGCTACACCACAAAATAAGTGTGAATTAAGATGCAGGGAGAAGATATTAATTATCCCGTAGGATAATCGCATGTAAGATAAAAAAATAAATAAATAAACAAAGAGTCAAAAATAGAACTAATGATTTGCATCCACAGCTGGACTACGCAGCCTTTGAACTTGTTTGGAGGAGAAGTGTGCATGACAAATTGTGCACAACACTGGAATAAAGTGTAACAGCAGTGAACAGGGCAGAACTCTATTTATAAAGTCTTGCATATTCAGGTCAGTGCTTTCTGACTAAACCATACAGTCCCTGCAGTCATAATAGGAATGCACAAACAACCTTTCAATGGCACGCGTTTACTGCTCAGCTGCAGTGCATACAACAACAGTGCACCAAGCAAAACTGGTTGTCAGAGCATATCTTCAATATATTTATGCATTTAATAAAAAAAAAAAATCCGCCCATGGTTACACTATATTAAGCTGCAGTCCTTAGCTTCAAATAATTTCAGCTTAAAAATGTACTTAATATTTATAATGGATGAGAGATGCTCCTGAATAATTTTGACCACACCTTTTGCGACAGACTGAAAACTGCTGGAAGCCAAGAGACACCACAATCTGTTATTTACCACACGAGGATTATCTTACAGGATTGCCTGACCTCGGTATCACTCAGTTACAAGCACAATTTAACAGACTGCATGTGTAGATGTCCTTATTCTAGGAGTCAGGGCCATTTGTTTGAAGTATTTTAGAGCAGAGAGGACCTGCTATGTAAAGTAACTGCAGCAGGAGATGAATTTGACTAATGTCCCCTTAAAATAATCTCTAGAATAATTTTTTTAAAATAATTGCATGACGTCATTCTCTCAGTGAGGATGCTGTTTTCCTGCTTTTAAGCCCTCATCAGCAGAGGTAAAACCTGCACTTTGGTCCTGGTGGTAGGTCTTGCATCAGAGGTGCCTAATCTCTAAAACAGCACACACACTTACCGTTCTCCCTCACTCCATGCTGGGTCAACCTCATACCAGAGACCTCTAATCCTCAGGAGCATAAGTCTGTGACTGTTGAGGGACCCTGTTCACTCTGTGTGTCTCTGTTCAGCGCTGGAACCGTGGTGTACGCTGACGGTCTTTCTGTTGCCAGTGTCTTTCAGCCAGCTGATGTGAGAGAGCTTGGTCTGGGCAGTTGTTGCCCTGCAGCTGGCTGAGCCATGGGGAACGAGAGCAGCACGACTGAGGAGTTGGTAAGGGCGAGCTCGCTGACATCGGATGGCTGGCATTGCTATTTGCTGCCCCGTGCTCATATACTTAACATGAATTCTTTCAAGCACGGAGGACTAACTAAACTAACACTGCACGATTACTAACTGCGGCTTTAATAAAACACATGGGATCTTCAAAGGATCTGCACTTTGCTTAACTGAGGCTTGTCTAATGAGCATTTAGATAAGATAACGTGCCTTGGTCTGTTATGTGTTTAACTGCTGTACTGTAAAGATATATATTTGATGTGTAATGTGTTTACTGCTACACACCCTGATATCTCCACGCTTGTTGTCCTACAGCTCACTCCTATGATGGGTGAAAGGCAGCTACGGATACCTTTAGTTAGCATCTAGAGGTATTATGCTGCAATTCTATAGACATCTATAGAAAAACAGTGATTTCCACATGTGACTGGAGGACTTCAGCACTGGAATTCAGGATTATCTTAATAGGATTAACGTAAACATTTGTCTCATGAGCTATAGGTTCCATAAACCATACACCCTAAGCTGAATATAGATGTTATATAGATATATGTTTTCCTTTAAAAAAAAAAAAAAAAAAAGCATTGCTGATTTGCTTTCTGGGCACTGATGCTTAATAATGCTTCTATATACAATATTGTGCAGTAAGTTTTTCCCTTAAAAATATATCTCTTGTTGAACTATTTCATTCCCCATTACAGCCAGAAGAGGGCGCTCCAGAAAATGTTGTTCTGTTTCCACCAAAGGAAAATCAAAATGACTCCCTACAGGTACAATATTTGTGTATGAGAGAGTGTGTGTAAGTCTTATATTGGCTTGTGTGCACTAGTGTTTTTACAGGAAACATGAAGCTGCTCTGTAGTGCCCTTAAAATGCTTAACGTAAAACGGGCACAGACATGGGTGACTGTTCTGGCCATTACAACTCAAGTTAACTGCTACTTTCATCACCCTCAGTTGCAGCTAGCATATATGATATATATGTCCACGCCACTGCAGGTGACACATCTGTTTGACTGTGCAGATGTGTGATCTGTGTGCAATTTGCCTGTTAATTTAATTTTTTTTCCTTTTGACATCATAGTGAATTGTGCATGACACTGGACACTGAAACCTCCTGAAGCTTGCAATTTCTTCCAACACTCTTCCCTACCCTTGTCTGGTTTACAGCCTGATTGTTCACTTTGTATAATTGTGCTACAGTCGTCCTCAAATGTATTCATACCCTCTAATTAAAGAAGGGGGAAAAAACAGCTGTCACTAAAATAAGTTGAAATTGACAAAAGTAATAATGAATAAAAATTTTATGAAAATCATGACATTGCTTTTGAATTGTGGTTCAGCAGAAATATATATATATAACTAGCAAACAAGCATGATGGGACCTGTAAACTAATATTTTGTTGACCAACCCTTTGAGCCAATCACTGCAATCAAGTGTTTTCTGTAACTCTCAATCAGACTTCTGCACCTGTTGACAGGTATTTTGATTTTGGCACACTGCTCATCAGCAAAGTGCTCTAATTTGTCCGGGACAGTTTTGTTTTTTTTTGTTTTTTTTAAATATTCTTTTCAACCACAATTCAAAAGCAATGTCTTATTTTACTAAATTATAATTTAGCAAATTTTTATTTATTAGGACTTTTTGCAGTTTCTAGATATTTGAGTGACTATTATGAATTTTCCCCTTTCTTTAATGGAAGGGTCTGAATAAATTTGAGGACGACTGTATGTTTTTTTTTATAAAGCAATGAAATAAGAAAGGTCTGAAAAATGAGCATAAGTTAAATCTTATCTTGTAATTAACTTAATTTTCAGGCAAAATATATGTAAATATAGACAAACGCGATGAATATGTTCTGACTGAGACTGCCGGTGTTTGTATGGCTAGTGGTGATGATGGCAGTGATGCTGCATCTTTGCGTCCCTGAGAGGTCAAAGTTGAAAGAAGATGGCGCTTCTATATGGCAGGAGGATTTTGTAGGTCTCTCCATGTATGTTCTGTTGTGTACATGTAACCATAGTTTTGTTCTTACGCGTGTAACTTGATTCTCTCCTATGGGGTCACTGCAGGCCCGACCCTTGGCCTAATTCCCAGCATTCACCTGCAGAGGCACTATCAGTCAGTCAGCGCAACAAGCCTGAACACACAGCAGCAGCAGGAGGAGAGGGAGGGGAGGAGGCCGGAGCAGAGGTGGATAGGGAAGGACAGAAGAAAGAAAACAGGGAAAGGCAATGAAGGAGGAGGGGATAGACAGAGAGCTGAGTGGAAAGAGTTTACAGTAGAGGGGGAGGAGAATGCTCAGCACTTCCCTGTGACCAGCCCAGTCAAGTCAGTGAGTCCCAGCAGCAGCAGCAAGCAGGAGCAGCAAGCAGGAGCAGTGTGTTTTGTCAGTGCATGGTAGTGTAGTGTTTCTAACGTCCACACACACACTGCAAGAAACAGCTCATGGAAATTTAACAGGGGAGCGTCAGCGACCGAAGAGAGGGCCGGACTGTGGAGAGGAGAGGACAGGAGGAGGAGGAAGTTAGCTGAGTCAGTACAGGAGAGGAGTGGGAGCGTCAGCAGCATGTGTTGCAGCATGTTTGTGTCGTCGTCTGCCCCCTTCAAAACACAGAGCCCTGCAGAGGCTGCCTGTACACTGAGCATGGTGGTGCAGGGGTAGCAGAGGAGCTGCACTGCACTGTAGAGTCACCTTCAGCTCTGCTGGGTAAGTGCAACGCAGGGATGGTGGGATGGAACTTGTACGGTGTGTAATTAAAGGAGATAGGTGTAGCGTTTTACACAGGATAGAGTGGACGTGTTGAATCTGTTTCTTGTTTCAGCGTGTGACTCAGAGAAAAGGCCTGTTCTTGTTATAGCACTGTCCGCTCTCTTGTTTACAACAGTCATGTGTGAAGCATTAAAGTTTTGCTAGCACATGGGCACTGACACATTGTATTAACAGTAAATATTACATTCTTGGCAGTAGGACAAGCAGTAGTTTCCAGGCAACCTGGGCCTGCTTTCTGTTTTGTTCCTGTGGGTTAATTAATAACAGACATTACTTTTGTGTGAGGGTCAAACTAACTGGTTGTTATTTTCCACCTCCTGAGCTTCCATATGGTCATACGTGACCCCAGTAATGACCTTTTAAAGGGCCAGTAAGATGGTGGCAGTAAACTTGGCTATGCTTTTGTGCCTGGTGCCTCTTGTCATTTTTTGTCTTAACATTTCTGAGTTTGTACCTAGAGAGAGGTTGTATGTCGTGTTATTTTCTGTATGTGTCATACATTCAGCTTGTACTCTGGCTTAGGCTGGTTTTGGGCGACAAGGGGAGAGATTTCAGACAGGAAACAGGAAACCCAAGACACGTCAACGTACAGCATCTCATGACAAAACTGTGTTCATCTCTGCATACATGACTGCATGCCTTTTTAAAATCTGATTACGTAACATTAACACAGGAAATAATAGCAGAAGGGAGGCAGTCGGAGTTACAATCTTACCTGCAGCAGTCCTTTTTTGGGTTCAGTTTCTTTCACTCTGTGGTCCTTTAATGTTTTATGTTCTCTTATGTTTTTCAGCAACCAACTGTGTAACCAGTTTAAAAAAAAAAAAAAGAAAGAAAGAAAGAAAAGAGCATAGTTGGAGTAGTCTAAATTTGAACATTTAAAAATAGCTTAATACGGCATGACACCATTCTTGTGAATGACATTTTAAAGGCTTAGACTCCACATTGTAATTTGTTTGATTTTTGTGTTCATGTAAGCAACATTTGTGTGCGCGAGAGGGCAAAGAGATCCTCCATCTGTGCTGAATGTGTCTCACAATGGAGGTCCTTTGTAGTGGTGACAGCAGGTGAAGCCAGTGACTCAGAGCCTCCTCAACACACACAACTTTACTAGTTAATCTGTCTCCAATATGTACACTCAGTAAGTACATCACTGAAGTAAAACTGGAGGAGGTGACCTTTTGTGGTTCATCCTGACAGAGGAGTAACATATTTCATTGTTTTTATTTCGTCAATGTAATACAAAGTTGGCTTGAAATTGCTTTCCTGTATTAATGTAATAATATTTTAAATGAATAACAACAGTAAAGCAAGTGTACAATAGGGAAATAATAACTTGCACACACATCTTTTCCCCCCAAAATGTTTTAAAGCATTGATTTCATCCTCATTTTTGCTTGGCATGATATTCACCCGTGCTTGTGTGCGGGCCCACTGTCTACTACTGCGTCATTAATAATAAATGAAGCTCTTTAATTCTGAATCTCAGCAGATCTTCAGAAAACACCATTACCACGGTCCTGTTGTATCCAGTCCCACACATTAAACCAACTCACAGCCCACTTCCCAACCTCTCTTTTTAAGTCACAGCTCATGCGTCTGTATTCCAGCAACGCCGAGTGTTGAAAGGCTGCACATTTTTGCATGTGTCTGCGCAAGTGCACATTTGTTTGCCCTCCCGCACCTGCAAACCTCTGTTTATGTCTCAGTGGGTGAAACAAATGAAAACTTTCCACGTCTGTGAACCGAGCGGCGCGTGCGGGAGAAATTCCATCACACGGTGGCCTGACGGTTGAGTGTTGTGCACTGTGAGGGCAATATTGCTGCAACATGATGCCACGGCCAAGTGTTGCGGTGTGTAGCTGTGGCTGGACTCTGTCTGTCCATTTGACATGCAGACAGATGGAAAGAAAAAACAAATGAAGCATTCTTTTCACATTATGTCGAAAAGCAGCTAGCTGGGTTAAAGGAACATCTTAATTGTTTACTCAGGATGAAGCAAAGACTTGATAATGTAATCTAAGAGATCTTGAATCTAGACTATGAGTAAACCACATGTCTGATGTCTTGTCACCATCCAGCAAGACTGGTTTTTCTTTAATGGTTATTCTTACTCACTTTTGACACGCTGGGAAACAAAAAGAACTGCAGTCAACTTCCTTATGAGGCGTGTCAGGTGGAAAACACCAGACTATAATGGTTAGACACGCAATTTAATTACTTGTTTTTTTCGTTCAGGGTAGTAATGATGTGATCCTCAAGAGCAGAATGTAATCACAGCTGCAGAGATTAAGCTCATGCAGAGAAGATGGCACAATGAGAGGAGAAGACATGGAGTCTGAGTGGACGGACATACCTCAGCCAGTATGATCTGTGCATTACTGTACAAACAATAGTTTACTTAATAATTTAACACATGGGTGGAGTTGTTTGTTCATGTGGTGTTTGGCTTTGAGCCTTAATCCGTGGGTGTTCCTGTGTTTTCCTGCAACATGCTCACACTTGTTGAGGTACACGCTTGCGTGTTCTGCTGCAGAGACTCCAACGTGTCGCTGACTGCGTTTATGATTCACTGTTCCACAGACCGAAGCTCACGCTGAGACCCAGAGGGACGACAGAGCCCTGCTGACTGAATCCTCCGCCAGCCTGCTGTCTCAGCCAGTGCTCCCAGACGTCACAGTCATCACCGGAGTGGAGGAGAGCAGCGGCGGAGTGTCCGACCAGGAGGACAAGGAGGAGCTCGAGTTTCCTCATGACCTGCTGCCCAGTTTAGATTTCAGCAGTGAGCTCAACATCTGGGAGTCCTCGCTGGGGTAAGTGGAGGGGCTGCACTCACACATACATGGCCAACTGTGTTTCCACATCAGAAGACATTACAGTGACTTACATTTTCCTGGATACAAACCATAACCCTCACCAGAATCACTACTTGCCAAATCCGAACACTTCCCCTAATCCTAAACCACATTTTCACCCTAACATTTTATGATTTATGTAAGTAGAACTTATTTTTTGCCCCCTAAAGAGAAGTAAATCTCCACATACTGAAATTGTGTAACAGCTTTATGTCCCAACAGAGACTGTGCTTGTATTACCACAGCCATTTTTGAGTTTGTTGCAAATTATATTTTCACAATTTGCCAAATTGAAGTCTCATCTTTTTCTTCTGATTCACAAGTTAATGTTAACCTAATATTTTGAGACATTATTTTTGGGATGTATTCTGATTAATCAGGTGATGATAATAGACTGTGATAGAATAAAGGGGTGGAACTGAGTTATTTTCTTCAGCAAACATGAAGGAAACACAAAGATCGGAGCATCAGTACAGTCTGTGGCCCAGTGTTATATTCAGAAAAGGTTTTTACATTTTACATGAAATCAGCCAAATAGAAACAGCTGAATGGCCAGCTATAGTTTTGTGATGTGGATTGTTTGTAATGTGAGTTAAGGAGCAGAGCTCTGTTAAGGTGTGACAATTTCAAAAACATTCCAAAGAAAAGGTCACCACGTCTCACATGACTCATTCACACATTGTCATGTAATGTCAAGATAAAACAGACTGAATATCATGGCAAGAAGAAAGATGACGTTTAGTTTAGCTTTTAGTCAGAGTACTGAGTAAATGTCATACGTAAATGTAAGTCTTCCTTGTCTGTTTCCTGATAAAAGAGAAATGACATATTATTTGCATTCGACACGCATTAAATTGGCCTCACAATTTCCTTGTTGTTGAAAATGTATAGCGCAAGTCATTTGATTACCCTGAAAAAGGTTGGACATAAACAGATTTGAGCTTGTTTTAGATAGCTTTTTAATGTAACACCCTTCCTGCACATTAAAGTTTAGCAAAATTTTGAGAAAGTTTTTGCAAGGTTGTTTGCTCACGTTGCCAGAGCTGTCAGACTGCGACCACACAATCCTGTTGAAGCTGATTTTTACGCTTTATAAATAAGTGGTGATTTTTTTTTCTTGAAACTTCATTTGGTAAAAAATACATGTGTTGTAGGGAAATATGTACGAAATCTACCCAATCAGAACAACTTGTCCCCTATTATGTCTGTAGTTTTTCCAACCTGTAAACAGTCCGTCCAGTTTTTACATCTTTACTTGTTTTTAAGGGTCATGGAACCTATCCCATCATGCACTATTTGAGAGGAAAAGAAACATGGCTCTGATATATTGCAAGGATAACAATGTCATTGCTCCTTAGACTGCTTTTAATTTCAACCTCAGACGTGTCAACACGCTGTAGTATTCTTTATGATAAGCATCATAGTTAATGCTTTCATTACCAACACCAAAGAATGTATAAGGATGCGCTGGTTCACTAGAACATACAGGTTCATGACCAATGAAGTATCATATTCTGATTGTAATACACAGAATATTACTGCCTAATGATGTATTGAGTATTCAATTTATTTGATTTATTGCCATCAGGGAACACATTATTCAGTCAAGGTGAAAGCTAATCTGATATCGATCTGCTGCATGTCTGAATGTGTGTGTACATGTCTGTGTGGATGTGTTGGCAGAACTCACAGTAGCTCAGGTGAGCAAAAATGTGAGCAGATGAACCCTCTGCTGGCTGGTCTGCAGAATCACACGGAAGTCAGTCAACCACTGGCGGTTCTAGACAAAAGGTACCTCAGACTCAGCATGACGGGGGGGGACAGCGGGGCGTCTGCTGTGGGAGTTTGATCAGCAGTAGATGGAATGATAACAAGTCAAATCAGAGAGCATGGAGTGGAACGAACAGATGACAGGATGATGTAAAGTTTCTAACTTGTGGATGAGTGTGATGGATGTCATTGCTCGAGTGTGGCCTGTCGAGAGCAGACTTGGCGTGACGTGTGCTAATTTGGTTTTTTATGCTTAGGTGAAATATCTGCAGGCATTTCATTTTCTGCCTCAAGTGTTGCCTGGCATTCTGTGCTCAGCTTAATTGCACTAATTTGTCTGAGGATTTAATGTGTCCTGACAGCCTGACATATCGCAGTAATATATTTGTTATTGCTTGATGTGAATGTGTAAAACTATAAACTAAAAATAAGCGCTGTGCAGACTTTTACGGGATTTCCTCTGCTATTCAAATCACGTAAAGGACAAATAAAAAAAAGATAAAGTTTGTGCTTGTTAAGCTTACCACTGCAGAGTAACGGGACCATGCAGTTTTAATGTACATCACAGAGGAACATCTGGTCTTTTTCACTTCAGGTAGAGGCAGACGGCAGCTTGTTTCATAGCAAAACTTGCCAGCTGCAAACACTTTATTCAAGTTTGCTGCTCCACCCTTTAGTAGGGCTAATTAAATGAGTGGCAGGTCAGTGAGGTAAGTGAGCAGCATGATGTGAGGGCGGAGGTTGTGTTTATGAGGAATTGCTGGAGCCTTTACGAAGCAATTATAAGACCAATCACACGTAGTGATGTTCGGTCTCACTTCATATATTTGTATATCTGGAACTGATATATGACATCATAGCGGTTGCTTTATGTTTTAGAAAATTAAGCGTGTAAGGCAGATATGTGGGACAGATTTCAGGTTACCAGCTGATAACATAAGAAGGAGTATAGGTTGTCTCATTACTAAATAATGATGGTGGATCTATACACTCAGACAGCCTTAAGATTAAAATGGCTCCACTGCATTATTCTGTAATGCCAGTGACTCAGCTTCTCAACAGGATGGCAAGATGATGTTAACTGTGCACTACAGGGAGTGTTTTGTAGGACAGTCACATTTTTTAATATATCTTTTTAAGGCGGTATTGGTTTGATTGTACAAGTATGAGCATCTGAAAGGTTGTTTTAAAGCACTGACATGATTTATTGTTTCCAAAGGGAATAATAAGTAGTCAATAATTGCTTATATAACATGCTTTATGTAGCATTTATAGGTTCAATTTCATATTTACCATTCATGACATGAAAGCTGTTTTTATGATGAATCAGAAAAGTATTCATCACAGTAATCAGAACAAGGGAATGTCTGTACTTTTCTGATTAAAGTACAGCCTGACTGGAATGAAGTCAGTGAGTCATAGCCAATGTGTTAGCAACAAATCCAAATGTTTGAATGGAACTGTTTATTGCTAAGTTTTTGGCAAAATGTGATAATCAATCCGTATCAAAATAATAAATATATGGAATGACTAAAGGCTTGTTGCAGTGGGGGTTACATAAATGCTACTTAGTGCCAGGCATAAATAAATACCTGCATGTTCATTAACACACTTATGCGTAAAAAGAGCTGATATTGTGTCTCGCAAGGGAATGCACATCTCAGAACAGGCATCCTGAGTGCAGTTGTGTGTATACATCATAGTGTTGTGTGTGAGCATGGGCTTCTGCCAATCGCGGCGCTGCTGTGGCATCGTGGAATGAGCGGCTGTCAGCCTACCTAGTCCTAACTCTGTCACCCTACCCTCGCCTCAGGCCTCGTGGCTGTGACCCAGATATCGCAGATGTCTGTCCTGCGTCTCAGCCTGCTGCCACACCTTACCCAGGCAGACCCCTGACCCCTTCTGCGTCCGCGTTCTTAGACCAAGAACTCCAAGAGGCTTTCCAGGAATGCGAAGAGCAAATGGCGTCACTGGGCATACTCACTCCCTCAGAGCCCCCCAGCACAGCGCCTGAGACGGTTAACGATGCCGGGAAGACAACTGGGGAAGTGATGGTTAATGAATCCAGTGAGTCATCGTCACCGCCTCCAATCGTAGTCCAGCCAGGACATAGCAACGGGGCCCATGGAAACAAGAATACAGATGGAAACAGTGAGGCTGCAAACAGTCTGAAGGATACAGTTGTGTTTAGTTTTAGGAATTACATACTGGGCACTGAGAGTAATGCTGGGGCAACGGAGATGGAGAGTGAAATTACAGCAACTCAGAGCCTGGATAAATGTTCAGAGATTAAGCCAGAAAAAGCAACAGAGATAGATGAACAGAAGGAAACTCCCCCGCGTATACAATTAGAAAAGGCAGCATATTCATTTGAAGAGCCTCCAAAACACGCTGTGTTCACTGAGCAGAGGGACTATTTAAAAGAGGAACGTGTTGATTCTAATGCAGCGACGGAGGAAAATAGCCCTGTAGACTGTGAAAGAAAGAAAGGAACAATGGTAATGACAGAGACTGCAAATATAATGAAAGAAAATTGTAGTAATGAGTCCAGTATTAACGTTTGTATAGTTGAAACAAAGGCAGATGATTCGACTAAAGAAACATCAGAATCTAACACTCATTTAAGGGATAAAGCGACGTTGTCAGAGTTGCAGTCAGAAGCACAGACAGGAACAGACAAGTGCATTGAGGAGTCAAAAACAGAAAAACAGACGAGTTCAGCAAGTGACAAACAGGCTGGGCAGAACAAAGAAGCAAAGAAAAGGAAAAACAGGAAGAAGAAAAAGATGGAGAGGAGTGCAGAGATTGAACAGAAAGAAAAGACAGTAGTACAATCTGAAAATGAAGCACAGGATGCAGTGTATCGTACAGATTCCCCTGAAAATGTCATGTCAGTGTCACAGGCTCAGACTGCAATTTGTGATGAACAGCCTGATAATAGGTTTGATTACAAGCAGCAGCTGAATCCCGAGGGAAAGCTCGTCTCCAGTCCCCCACTATCATCCCAGGATCATCTTACTGCCTCAGCCTGTTCACCTGCTTCCAACGAGGCTCTTTTGCTGAGACCCCATCAGTCAGATAACCACAACCATATGGGTATCCCAAGTAGCATGAATCACAGCTCCAATGACAACCCACAGAGGGAGCAACAAGTAACCGGAGGTGAAGCCAGTAACCAAAATACACCCATGACACATGTCCAAACTGCAGCTATCAACCCAGCTGCCTCTGGTGATAAGAGATCAGATGTACAAACACAAGAGGCTACGGTTACAGAAGCAAAAATACTCACACAGGAGAATCAAAGCCCACTCTCCGACAGCCAAACGTGTGTGGGAGAGAGTTGCGTGGAGAGTGCCCTTGAAGTGGTGGTAACTGCGTTGCCACTGACAACACCCACATTGCCAGAAGTGATAGAAAGCAAGGGAGAGGGAGAAAGCGTGAGGAGTGATTTACTGGGTAGAGTAGCTACGGTAGCAATTGCAGAGAGTGAGGAAGGAGGAACAGCACTGAGAGGAACAGAAGAGTGCCTCGGCTCTGCAGACGGAGAGAAAGACAAACTCCTGGATAGCCCTCCTCAGCTCTCACTAATCTGTTCACGGGCAAAATGCTCACTTGCATTCTCGGCCAAAGAGGGACAGGCTGCATCTGAGGAAAGCTGCAGCAACAAAATGCCACACAACTCGGCCGAGACTGAAATTAAGGGACCGAGGGAGACAACCATTCGTAGTTCAGACACAGAGATCTCGCCAGCTGAAGAGGGAGACACTGAAAAGGAGCTACCCCAGTCAGAAGCTTTCATCAATACCTCTCCCTTTGGGCAACTCACTGGTTCTGATTGTCAGGATCACAGGGCTGCGGGATCGGAGAGAGCAGGAGAGAGAGCAGGAGGAGGAGGAGGCGAGGAGGTGGGAGAGAAAGGAGGGCTGGCTAGAGAGCACAGTTCATTCAGCCAGCCAGAAGGCTCTGCTTGTGGGGTGTCATCAGCCGAGACTGAAACGTGTCCGCCCACCGATGTTGCCGAGTCACAGCTGAAGTCACAGAGCTGGAGTGAGCCGATTGCTACCATCACTGAGAGCATCTGCACAGAACAGGAGCGTCTCTTTCACCCCCGCCAGGAGCAGTGCGGCGCAGCAATTTCACCTCTCCCCTCTCAAACTGAACAGAGCTCCGGCAATACTAATGGAGGGGTAAGGGCTGATCTCGAGCAGAATTTGATTTCGGAGGAAGCGCTGTCTTTGGGATACATTGGTGAGGAGTCATCCATCACAGAGACAAACTCCGGCCAAGTCTTCCTGCCTTTAATCTCACCCCAGCCTTTGACTACTTCACAGCAAATCCCAGACAAGCAACAAGCAAGCAGCAATCAACAGGTTCAGCCTAGTAGCTCAACAGAAGCGAGGACAGTCGAAAGTGCAGCCGACTTCCAAGTTGAAGCCCGTACCCAGAGCAACAGTGGTAGCCCTGCTATGTCTGGAGTGGGTGTGTATTTATGTGGCAGCAGTGGAGGTAATAACAGAGTTCACTTTGCAGACAATGTGGATCTCATCAGCATGTCAGTCCCAGCTTTGGACTGTGCCTCTTTGCCTCCACTGACTGTTCACGAGAGTTTGCACCATCCTGTTGTTGAGGTCAGTTACACGTTCCCAGACTTTCTCTGCTCGAAGAAACCAGATATCCCCACAAATCCAGCTCCCACCAAGGATGAAGCAGCAATACAGAGCTCAACTGACTTTCCAAAGCCACAGAAGAACATCCAGGTGGATAAAGGAGATGTGGGAACTAAAGATACCAAGGAGAACATTGCCATAGATCTTTCAGGTAATGACAACTTGGAGAAGGACACTGTAGATTTGCAGGCAGTGACCGAGGATTCCTTAAAACCGCTTCCATGTCCTACTGAGAAGAATGAAGCAGGAAAAACTATTTCTGAGGCTGATCATCTAACAGCTGAGCAGGTGACAGCAAAGGTGACAGAGAAAAAAGAGGTGGAAGAACAGAAAGGTGCAGAATATTTGGCAAAGGAGGAGGAGATTGATAAGTTACATGCTGAGTCTAAAGCCTCCATTAAGACTGACCAGCTTCAGGAGTCACCTTTAACGAGTGATGTTACTGTCTCTCAAAAAAAAGAAGTGAACCAGCATCCTCTTTCCTCAAGTTTTGTGCTTCCAGCAGACGATGTTCATTGCAAGCCTTTAAGTGATGTCACCTCTGCATCCCCTGTTGAGCAGCTACATGCTGATCTCGTCAGTAGTTCGAAATCCAACAGCGTGACCTTGACCTGTGCGGCCTCTCTTCAGACGAAACCAAGTGATCCAAGTCATCAGCCTCCCACCCAATTAGTTGAAACACCTCCCAGTGGACTTGCTAACATAGATCTCATAAAGGTTAGTGATGGGCCTATTTCTAAAACTGACTCTGCTGATCTGACAAAGGATGATTCAGTGACTTCAGAAGCGACAGCCTCTTTCCAGTCGAGTCCTGCTGTTGGACAATGTGCCAGCACTCCTACTTTTGTGCTGCAGCCTCCTGGCCCGATGTTGAGTCACTTGGAGTTCATTACAGACTGTGATATAATTCTTCCTGAACAGACAGATGGTGATGATGACAGCATCAACGTCTCCAGAGAGGTGGATGGGGATAAGAGCAGGAAAATGACCCAAACGTCTTCAGCGCAGGGTCAGGACTGCGGTGATGTCAGCGTTAAAGCAGATGAAATTTGTTCAGCACTGGTGGATAGAAACAATGCTACAGAGTCTGTTCCTGAACTTCAAAATTTTGTTATCAATAATGTAAATATTTCGTTTTCTCAAGAGGAAATTCTGCCTCCTCCAGCCGAACCTCCTGGTGCAGTTCGTGCACTGGCAAAGGGTGAATCTGATAATATAACATCTCTCTCTCACGCTGAGCCAGAATCTATTGAACCTGTTATTTGTAAAGCATCCATTAGGGATGACCTCATAAATGTCAGCTGCTCGCTCAGCCCTGATCTGCCTACCAATGAGACTCATGATAAAATTAAACAAGATAATATGAAAGAAAAACAAAAGTTGGGAGATCAGACCTCCAAGTTTGAAGAGGAAAGAAAACAAGTTGAAGAAGCAACAGTGGACAATCAAAAGGAAGCAGCAGACACCAGCGAGCTGCGGACAGGAAAGACAGGCACAACGCCACCACAGAGTAATGGACCAGATAAAGAGGCTGTAGAGGAAATTGGAGCCCCGCAGCCACCACATAAGCATAAAGTACAAAAGACTGAGTCACCATTAGGGGATATAAAGAAGGAAGGAGAAAGGAGGAGGAGTTTTGCATTTAAAAGCGAGCCAGAAAGTTGCTCCTTATCTCCCAGTGGATCTCCAGGGTCATCGGAGGACATGCTACATGCTGAGGTTGAGTCTAGTAGTGCACCTCAGACTGTTTATGACCAGAGTTTATGCCAAACTCTGACAGCAACACTGGAATGCAGCTCTGACACCGGCACTGCACCAGATTTGTGTGCAGCTCTTGGCCAATCACAGTCCACACCAGATCCAAACTGTTTTGCGCAGCAACAAGAGCAACAGCAGCAGCGTCTGGGATCCAGACATCCCACAGAGGACTTGTCAGGTGGCTGTCTACAGGGGAGAGAAATGACCCAGTGTGCAGGAGGAAAGGGGGCAGCAGAGGAAGGCGATGGCTCTGTTGGGAATTTGTGTCAATCAGGAAGCAAGGATAAGTTGACAGGTGATGATAGCAGTGGCAATGAGGGAGCGATAGCTCAAGAGAAAGGCGAGGGACTACAAGCTTTAGCTGGAGTTGATGGGGTGCATGTGCCGTCTCACCTTGCCGGTGATTTAAATGAGAGCGCAAGGGCTGCCGAGAGAAATGCCTCAGCTGACACAGGGATAGCAATAGATTGCCCTCATATAGGTGAGACAAGACAGGGAATAGATGAGAATAAAAGCCCCGATTTAGGGGTAGGTGGGTCAGCTACAGATTTAATGCCAGACATTGAGTTTGTGAGTGATCTCAATGGTAAAGGTCAGCAAAAAAGCAATCTATCAGCTGCCTGTCAAGACCAATATAGAAAGGCTGAGACGTCAAAGAACACTGTTGTATCTGTTGAGCCGACTTCACAGGAACATGTGATTTCACCTGGTCTCAGTTCTGTTTCATCAAAGGTCAGCACAGGTAGCTATGACATTCAAACAGACATTATTGCAAGCTCAAACCAGACGGAAGAAATTCCTACAAAGTTATTCAGTACTGTGCAAGATCCTGCTGGGCAACCAGAAACAGTGAAAAAGGATTTCAGTGCTGCAACGACTGTGAAAAGCAACAGCGGTGAATCCGGGGAGTGTGAAATTCAGAATACAGTGTGCAAGCTGCTTGAGCTACAAGGCTCCAATAAAACTTCAGCCACACAAAGCAGCTCAATTGTACAAACACATATAAAAGGCTCCGATGTAGAGGAGCTCACAAAAGAAGATAAAGCAGCTTTGGATGAAGAGAAAGTTAGCAGCCAGGAGAAGGAACAAAGTGAGATAAAAGTGACAGACAATGAAGCAGTAGTAAAGCAGGGGGTCCTAAATTTAACTGGGAGTGCTGAAGACAGTGGGTCAGGATCAATAAAAATTTCAGGACACTTTAATAGTGAGGTCTCACACAGAAGCACAGACGCTGCTCCCTCTGAGGGGAGCATTGGAGTTTCTAAGGCAGCAGAAAATGACAGTAATATAACAGACAAAATGACTGCTGATGTTATCACAGCTCCATCTGTTGTTTTGTCAAAGTGCCTGGAAGAGTTTGCATCCACACCCCTTGTAGCTCCTACTCAGTCTGAGCAACCCAGTGATCAGGTGTCATCATCAAAGCCCCAGGATGATACTGTGGTAAACCCCTCTGTGGCTGCTTCGCAGCGTGAAGAAAACTCATTTGAAAAAGCTCCTGTCTGCACCTCTCCTGTTGAACAATTCTCTGTGAATACCGAGGCTGCTGATGTGTCAGAGAGCCCTGCTCCTGGACTAGCAGGGCAAGAACCAGAGACAAACTGGATAAAAGCACTGAAAGAAGCTGCATCCCAATCTCAGAGCGAACAAGTAAACACAGTGGACGCCTCAAGGTAAACATGTGTGTTTAATGTGTATGCATGTGTGTAAAAACTGCAGATTAGAGAATAAAAAAATGGTAAAGGTCAGAAGAGGTCATCATGCCCCCTCACCCTGAATGCGAGCATGTTAGCGTGCTGTCACTTATCATCTGCTCTAGTACATCACAAAAAAGGAAGGATGAAAAGAAAGAAGAAAGGCAAGAATTTTGAATGAGGCATTTTGAGTTGTAAATCTGTGATGTTCAGTCTGTTACCACAGATTTCTGCCTCTTTTTTTTCAACTTAGCATTCCAGTAACACCATGTTTAGGCCTTGTTTGGACTGATATTGCGGAGAGAAGTGTGACAATGAATATGAATGAGGAGGTAAACACAGAGCTGCACTTTGTATTAGCTCGAGCTCGGGTCAGATGACTGTGCCTGTTGAAGCCTAATGGAAGTAATGCAGCCCTTTATATTCAAAGGGTGACATCAGCTGTGACATCGTGCCTGGTCTCCACAGCAAGAATGAGCCTTTTCTCACACAAAACACACTGTTCAACACAATATAACAACAACAACAACACAAACATACCTAGACAACTTGTGCATACTCTCCATCCTCTTGCAGGGACACATGCCCCCCCACACAAACACACACTTGTGATTTGTCAGTCATTCCTTGAGCATGTGCTGTAAACTAATCAACAAATCCACCAACCCCCTCTTCTTGTATTGTTTTTTCCAGACCCCTCCCATCTCTGGAGTCTCCTCAGCTAGAGTTTCTTACTCCAACCGAGGAGGTAGCTGTGCCTCTGACACAAGAGGAGATCCCACCACCGGAACAAGCAGCAGAGAAGACAACAGAGATCCAACCTCGAAATCTGCTGAAGAAGCCAGTAGACCTTCCTGAGCCTTTAAAAAAGACAACAGATCTCCCAGAGCCAACACAGCAGACAGGAGAGCTTTACAAACCAACACAGAGCACAAAAGTAGAGTTCCTGGAAGAAGCAAACAAAGGTGAGCTCTCAGAACCAACCAAGAAAGAAGAAGAGCCTCCATATGAGTTTCCAGAAGAAAAGAAGCCAATAACTTCTCTGGAGGAAGCAGCTGAGATCTTAGAATCGACAAAAAGGCCAGAGGAGATCCCAGAACCAACGAAAAATGGAGCAGAATCCGTAGAGCCAACAAAGAATGAGGAACCAGAACCAACACAGGCGACAACAGAGACCATTCAACCAGAGGAGGAACTGATCAGTGAGCTGACAGAGGAGCAAGAGGAAAAACCAGTAGAGATCCCACCTGTGGAGCCATTTACAGTCCCAGCTGAGAAAACTGCAGTGACCGAAACAGTCCAGGATCCTGCTGAGGAGCTACAAGACAGTGGGTGAGTGTCTTTGTGAAACCCTACGACTAATCGTTAATCAATTACAATGAGTGATTTGACTATTGTTACATGGGAATTTCTTGAAAATGGGGTTTTCCTAAGCAGATTAATGACTTATATCTATTGTCCTACTGCTCTTGTTGTTTAATGTACATGACAGTTCTCTTCTCACTGTCTGTTTGATAGCCTGAGCTATGATTTAATGTCTACAGTTTCCAGTGAAAGCCTGTTTTACAAGTCTGAATGAACCGCAAAGTAATGTTTCCCTAGAAGGCTGCAACCAACAGACTGTTCTCTTTCTGGGCTCATTCAGGATCTGGATTGTAATTCCTAATTTATTAAAATCTAACTGTTTTTTTTTTGGTTATTAGCTGATTTTCCAACAGGCGACCAAATATCGTGATGATTTTAGACCTGATACTTTTTTCTAAAAGTTCGCTTGCGTTTCTTTATCATGAAACTGACGCTGTAGAGACTTTTTTTTTTTTTTGCAGCTAACCTATTTGTAAAATGAGGAATCTCAGGGGAACATGTGCTTTACAGCTTAGCAGCTCACACACTGCCCTGCCTGTCACACATTTGAAATGGATTTCCATGCGCCCGGAGAGTCCTGTTGGTGGCTTTGTTTGGCTTTCAGACACTTGGAGGGCGTCTGGTAGGTTGTTTCTGTCTGCAGCGGTTTCACAGTGTCTGACTGGACGAATGAGCTGGAGTCTCTCAGATTTGCACTGGTTGATGTGATGGCGAGGAACCTTTCATGCTGTTAAAATTTCTGACTGAGTTAAACACACATAGTAAACCAGTGTGTCGTTCAGTCGACCTCCATCCAGGCATCCAGTATTTATTTAAGCATTTCAACAGCTCCAGCTTGACCAACTTCCCATATAGTTCAATATTTTACTAAAAAAGAATCGCATGGTCATAGTTTAAGGAGATTTACTGTTTGATTATTTTCTTTTGGTATATTTTAATTAACTTAAATCTTTGACAGATGATTTCTTTTGTCTTCTGCCCCTCTGTTATCTTCATGTTTTGTCACTCTCTCCCGCTGCATGCCGAGGAGCCATCCCACATGCCGGAGTAACACTTGCTGCCTGTCAGTCTCAACACTTGTCCCATCACTGCTGTTGGAGACACAGCACTTTATTGAGATTAGGAAAGAGGAAGGCTGACAGTGATATTTCCCTTTGGTTTCATCAAAAGATAAAGTTACACTCGCATACATGTGGCAGAGACCGAAATGTGACTGCATGGCCGATGACATATGTGAGTGTGTGTGCATGTGTTTTTTTTTTTTTTTCTCCGCCCCCAGAGGCTGTCCTAGCTGTCAGTCCTGCTCAGTCTGTGCGGCTTTGTGAACTGAAGCCTGTAGTGGGAGGAATTTGGGCAGGCACTCAGCCCCACTGAAGTCATTTGCACAGACCAGACAGAGTGGAACAAAAGCCAGGGTTCAGAGAAACACTTGAGCATGTGGTGCGGTGTGGAGTGTGTATGACAGAGTCAGTCACAGACAAGAGGAGAGGCACACTGGGACGTACACTCATTGACTTTGCTGTCATTTCCATCTGAAGTCATTTCCATCGCTTGCTGTAGTTACCTTTGAAGCTGTGCGATGGATTCAGCTGAAATCTGGGTGAGTTGACAGAAAGTAGCTGCCATGCGTTTCTCCGTGTGTGTCTCTACAGCAAGTGTTTGCGTTTAAGTCCCTCCAGGTGGATGTGGCAGATGGTCTGTAGGTAACTAGTGCTAATTACGCCCTGCCTCTGCTGACCTCACCAGATGGGTGGAGGGAGGGACAAACAGAAAGGCGAAGGAAAGAGATAGGAGGCTTCTCTGGAACAAAGTTGCGAAATGAACAACAATGTACCTCCTCCCATTTACAGAAAACTTTTACAGGTTAGAGCATGTTGTGCTCCCTTCTGTGACTGGCAGGAAATCTGCTCAGTAGTAGTCAAGATAATGATTGACTACTGTCTGTGAATTTTCCAAAACTCAAGTTGGAATGAAAGAGTTTTAATATGTGAGTTAATGAATGATTCCAGGAAACATAAAGGGCTGCTGTCTTGCTTATATATGGTATAAAAGTGCAGTGTAGTACGTAGGATCTTTCTCCTCCATGCTTTTGGAGTGAAAAGGAGCCCACATTGTACTGTAAATAGACTAGTTGCCATGGTGATTGTAGGTTTGCTTGAATTTGCCGGCACAAGTGAAGTGGATGAACTGTGTCGGTCATTTATTCAGCCACACTAACCTGCCTGTGAATAATTTTTTATCTCAGTAGTGGCAGAGCAGAATTGGTTGATTTATGAAGTATGTATTTGCAATATATACAGTGTGTTCTTCAATGTGGACTGTGTGTGTGTATGTTTGTGTGTGTGTGTGTGTGTGTGTGTGTGTGGACAGTATGAGCTGGCTGTTGGCTGCTGGACAGAAATGATCCTCCCCTTATTACTTTCTCTGTACATTCAGCTGGTTTTATTTACAGCTCTGTGTTAAACATACTGCCTGTACTTGAGTCCAGCTGTTTCATGTAGATTATTCAATTTGTGTGTGTATGGTCTGAATACAGCGGAGTACAGGTAAATTAGCTTTAACACTCATCGATGAAAGTGGAGGTTAGAGAATAATGTGTTTGCTTTGAACCGTGGTGTCATCGAGTAATTCCCGGCACACAGGTGAATGACGAACGATAAAAACTGTGTTGGACAGCCTCCAGGTGCTAATGTCAACAGTAAAACTAAACTGATGTGAAGCTGTGAGATGCCTTGCTGTAAAAAAGCACATGTGCGCCAACTAATTAGTTGCATTCATCCTGTTTAAGATGGAAAGCTTCTGCTACTTCTTGCACATCAAATTTGGAGGCAGCACTAAGTTAGAAATCTCCAGCTGTTAACCTGAATGAGTCAGCTGACATTATCTTCACATAAAACTGAATTAGGAAATAGTTTAATCTAATTTAATCTAATTTTCTTTTGATTGTCTCGTCTTCATTAGATTTGTTTTTTAACTTTATTTAGATTTATTTTTCCATCTGCCCCAGAACTGTTTCCGTCCGTCCCTGGCGACAGCAGCGAGTCTTCTGACAGTTTGTTCAAACTATGTTGTGACTTGGTTGTTTCTATTTCCAGGCAGCATGTGCCAAGTTGGCCACAGATGCTGACACATGTATAGCTTCGGCCTGCTGGTGTAAGTTTCTGACTATGAATTTGTAAAGAGGGGGATGGAACCAAATAAAAAAAGTCATATATGAAATTTGAGGACGTTTTCCTCCTGTATGCAGCTGTCCTGCACCATTAATAAAAGTCTGTGCTTTTATAATGAAGTGATAGGAACCACATCAGTGTTAATATGTAGACTGTAACTCACTACACCCATAAGAAAAGCACACGCGCTCATTAAATGTTATCAAGCTCTGACTTTACTGGAGAGAGCTAGAGAATAACAGACCTGTGTTTCAGTCTGAAATGAGCTGGAGGGGACATTTGAAAAGTGCAGCTCAGCAGACGGTTGACTTGATGCCTGAGCATATATGCTTTGGTTGATGGAGGCATTGTGAAGCTCTATTTTGCAGAAGAGGCTACTGGGATATTTTTAGAGCTAAACAGGAGGCATGCCCCAAGTGGGGAACAGCTGCATGGGCGTCCATCGCATTGCCTGTCAGATTAGAGTTCCTACCACTCCTGATAAGACGGGCCTGGATCAGGGCCAAATCCACTTCACCAGGTGGCCAATGATGACAGAGCCAGATTCCCTCAAACACTCTACTTCTCTGCAGAGGGCAAGTAGACCAAGCATGGACTATCATGGATGGCAACTGATGAGAGGCGTTTCGGTTTCATGTAGTTTCAATGACAAAGCGTTCTTAGGATGGTCGGCGCGAGCTTTTCATTTTTCAAGTCACTGCTAGGTCTAGGCCACAGCATAGAGCAGAGCGTTCCATCGTACTCTGCTTTGAGGTAAGATCACTTTATGGGTCATTTCTACAGGAATGTGGAGGAAAGTGGAGTGTGGGCTCCAAATCGGCATAAGTGGCCTAAGCGTTCTGGTCTGTGTGTTGATGTTTTGTGTTCCCTCCCCTGCAGGCCCTCCCTCGCTGAACAGGCGGAGAGAGGTCACCCTGCCCAGCCCGCCTCTCCCCCGTCTCCTACCTTTGACCACCACATCCTTCCTGCCCTGCCTCCACACCTCCAAGACACAGCAGAGATCCCTACTCTTTCTCTCGCACCCCCGGAGAGCCGCGCACTCGAAGCTCTACCGACCCCACCTGTGTCCCCCTGCCTTCCTCCTCCAGCTCCTGAATCCCCTCCTGCACCTCCTACTCCCCACTGTGAAGACCTTCCCCCTGCTCCTGCACCCTGCCAGGTCCCTATAAGGTATGAACGTGTTCCTGAATCGCCTCATTAGGTCATTCGTTATTTCACTGTGGAGTTTATTGTCATACACTTACCTTTTGTTGTCTCAAAAACTAATGTAAATGTTTGCCCTTAGTTAGACCTTGCAGTAGATTTGTCCTGTGCTGACATTAGTCCCCTTAACCTGCTTCCTGAAAAGTAGCTGTGTCCTTATCCTTTCAGCCGCACAGTTCAAGTCAAATTACAGCATTAGATTGACATCTGGCACACTGAACTGCCTTGTTGATCCTGATTTCCTAGAGCTCAACAACAGGAATCCGCACGGTTTCCTAATTTTACCTTAAAGGAATATAGTGTATTCTGGGGAATGTACATTATTTGTTTCTTGCTTAAAGGAAGGTGTGAAGATGTGATAATATTTTCACGTTCAAGCAATAAATATGTACCTGGGGCAGGCAGGTGGTTGTATGTGACATGGAGGCAGACCAACTCGGATATGACTTGCAGCATTTTTGCATTGATGATACTGCAATCATTGAATAAACTTTTCCAGGTTGAATAAAGGTAAAAACAAACAAGCAAGCAAGCAAGCAAACAAACAAACAACTTATCGTAGCACAAACACGCAAAATAAGGGGAAACAACTAGATGTCCAAAGTTAGTAAAATCTGTCAATTGTTTTTTTTTTTGCTGGTTGCAGTAACTCCTAACATCCAAGAAATGGTGCAGCACTCATTGTAAGTTGGAAAAAAAGTCATTTTTACATTCTGACTTTTGTGTAGATTACAAAAGATATAATGTGTTAATTAGTGGGCTTTGGTGATGCTGGTAGGTTGTAGGTTTGTTGTCCCGCTTCCGAAAAAGTCTTCTTCTTCTTCTTCTTCTTCTTCTTCTATTATTATTATAAACACTTTCATTGTATATTTAGAAATTATTTTTTCCCCATCAAAATGCCCTAAAATTGCCTTTAAATTGCTTAGATGTAATTTTGCTCAATTGCTTCCTTTTGAATGTAAAGATCTATGAGGTCTCTGCCTCTCGAGCACACCGGCTCACCTACGACTCCACTTGGAAACTCTTAAACTACTGTGTGCGACACAAAAACAAGTTTTAATATTGGAGTAATTCAGCCATATATGTTTTAAAGGAGAATGATAATACAGAAAATCTCATCATGCAAGCCAAAGGGATTGCTTTCTTGAGGTTTGTTATGTATGAAACCCTAATTCAGCAATAATGTTGGTTGTATTTTTGCTCATGATATGTCTTCTAACATATAAAAACAACATATAAACATGTTGACAAGGTATAAAACATTAAACTAGCCGGCCAGTGACTCATATTTTATATTTTCTCATGAAAGTGGCATCAGTCTCTCTCTATGAATCTTACAATTAATACAATTTTCAACCTAAAATCCTGAGCAAATTTTGTCTGCTATGTCTTATTACCCCCTTCCCAAAATTACAGTATGGCACTGCAATGCACGCCTACCACATGCGCTCAAAGGAAACAGGATTTGCTAATGTGAATTTAGCGGTCATGGAAACCTAAATGCATACTGTGTAATTATGGCTTGTTAATGGTGAATACAGCAAAAGCACAAGGAGCAAATGTGTATATATAGAGAGAGATATTTTAAACACACTGCGCCTTTTCACCATTGCACAATCTGCCCCATCATAACCACTTGACGTATTATGGCTCAATTCTTGCCATAGTGATCGCTCACAGCTGCTGCTTTCAACTGAGGACACGGTGATTTTCATTTCATACTGATTGCATTTAAATGATGATCATTATTTCACAATCAGCATAGTTTCCCCACTGAAAGTACTAAACATTCCTCTGAAGTCTTCTTTTGCATTTGCAATTTATTCCATAGACTTTATTTTATTAGAGGGAATGACTCAGCCACTTTCACAGTGCAGCTTTATTTACAGCCAGCAGAGGGTGTTTTTCTCTTTGCAGAGTCCAAGCTTGGTGTTTTATTGCCAGCCTGTGTCTGCACTCTGCTGTCTGACTGCTGCAGTCACCTGGTGCATGCATGAATGAACACAGACAAATACTCCAGCTCAGTATGCACCACTTTTAAATTGAATATAGACACAAAAAAAAATATCTTCTGTGTGGATTTTCTCAGGATAATATCAACTGTGTTCCAATGTAGCTTCATAATTTCACCCCGCTTTCTGAGAAGACCAACATTTTTGAGATTGCCAGGCTAGCATGGTGTTGTTACATTATTTATGATATCTGACAGATAGCACTGGAGAGGAGTAGAGAACCAACCCAGCATCACAGACTAAATATTCTGATTAGATGTTACACATAGTCCTGTTTGCCCACAGACTCACATCTGTGCCAACGTATGTGTAAATATGTACTATACTTTTAATCTAATGCATTAGTTCTTATATGAAGGTCATGTGCAATACAAAACACACTCAAACATACATTTTTTAATGGAAATAAAATAGTAATGTGTCAATCCCTGTAGTGAATGAGCAACTCCTTCAGAGCTGCTAGACATTTATTTTTAGGCTCAGAGGCACATTAGCTGGACAGATGCCTGCCTGCACAAGACCTTGAACCTCTCTCGTTCACTTAAAAAACTGTGCTGCCAATAAGAATTAGTTTCATTGTTGATTAATCTGTTGATTATTTTTCAGCTGTGGTGTATAAAATGATGGAAAATAGTAATCACTGTTTCCCAAAGGCCAAGATAGCATCTTCAAATGTCTTGTTTTATCCTCAACCTAAAACATATTCAGTTTACTGATATAGAAGATTAAAGAGAACTGAAAATATTTTAATTTAAGAAGCTTGAATCAGGGAGTTTTGATTATTTTTTTCTTAAAAATGACTCAAATTGATGATCGAAATAGCTGGCGATTAAATTAATGGTCGACATGTAATTTGCTTGCCTGACAGTTGCTTTCTCTTATGACACAATGAAAATGTTAGTAATCTATAAACAGACATCTTTTATGTTTTTTCCCTGAATGATTCATTGAGTTGCGTGAGTAATAATTACATCCTTTGGTGATAAAAACAAGGCAGGCTGTCTTCTTTTTTTAATTTTTTAATTTTTTTTACCAAATAATATTCCATGATAATTAATCTGTCAGTTACTCCCACACATTTGAAACACATGCTTTCTGTTGTGAAGACAGTCCCCGGCAGCTACAAAGTGAGGATTGCTTTAATTCTTTTGTTTTCCTGGATTCCCCTAAAAACCCTAAAACCAATCTTTTTCCTGCTGTCATATTACAAACATTTACCATTATTCTAATAGTCTCTTTTTTGTATTTGACACTGTAGAGAAGCCTCATATAATGGCCTTCATTATACAGATTACAATATAGTACAGCTCCCCCTCCTATTTTACCTATATTTGTAACAAACCACCATTATTGTGCGACCACAACACACGCCTGCTGGTGAGATAGTGGTTCGATGTATATCTGAAGCCTTCATTTCTTTTCTTTTTGAGGTGCCCTGGTTACTCCCCTGCTTTGTCATTTAATCTGCTGATACTCCCAATATATGTTTTAACAAGATGTCCGGTAACTGCAGACTCAGGAAATCTTCCCCATTAGTAATTGTGTATAAGAGCAATGCAGCTCTTTCTTGGCATAGGAAAAATCAAACCCTTTATCCTGCCTGGTCAGCAAAAGTCTTCAGGAGGAGGATTAGAGCAGCAGATCAGCAATCAATGTCATCATCTAAAACCAGGAATCCCCCCCAACATGCACGTTTGAAGGGCTTGTTTCTTGCACGGCTGCTTGATTGTGTTTGAGAATCCAAAAAAAAATGCATTTCCTACTCACAGTGTATGTGGGATATTTTACTCACACCAACAAAGATCTGTCCTCTATCTTTGGACTTAGTGTCCCACTTTTTCATAACTGTGTCAGCAGTGATGTTTCACTAATTACAGCAGCCTTTTTATGTCATACTGCGAGTATATTTTCTTTTTAGATATGTCTTTGGTTTACAGATATGGTGATCTGATTGAATACACTCTCAGAGTATGTTTTTTTTATTGGTTTTTGTGTTATCACATACTTTGTCAGTGCCTATAATTTGCTGTAGGAGGGAGTCCCCAGTTTGTGGTCTTTTTTTTCTTGCATATGGTTGTTTGGGTAATCTTGTTTCTTTGAGTTTTTCTGTAACAAATTAGGGGGCATATTGTTTGTTTATATTGCTCAATTTGAGCCTGCACATGTTTGCATCACATGATTACGGTACACAGTTTAGCTTAAAGTGCCTTTACAATCAGAATTTTCACATTTTTTGGCACAAATTCTTATTTTGTTTTAGTGATAAATTGCCAGCATCGCAAATCCAGACTCTTCAATCACGCTTAGCAAATTTAAACACTGTGTGCCATAAAACTAAACATCACTTTAGAGGTACCAAGAGGTTTGATTAGTTTTTCTGCCACTATGCTCAAAAGCAGCAACAGTAACTTTCAACCCTTACTCCTCAAAATCCAAACTGCTTTGCACCTTCACATTCAGGAAGGATATACTATTACCTTCCAGCAGGCTATGGGTCGTGATAGCCCTAATTCTCTTTGAATCGGGGTTGTGAGTAATGAATCTTTCAGAAAAAACTGCCACAGCCATATCTTCCAGTGCATGAGTTTGTTGAATTTTTTATTTCTGCGTTTTCTGCAGCTGAAGCTGAAGTGCAAGGCCACACTCTTAAAGCTGCAACAAAGAGAGGATGTTTATGTCAGTCATTCAATAGAATAGGAGCATGTACTTCACACATATTGTACATGCATTTCTGTCCCAGATACAAACTTGTATGGGGGAAGGGGTCTACATGCAAGTAGGAATCAATATTTTTTCTTTAACAGGGGTCTGCGTCGGGAATTGTGAGTGGACAGTGATTTTTACTTGCCCCCTCAGGTCCTAAAACATCGACCAACAAGCCCATTTGAGACCAGAATCGCATCAATATTCATCAGTTAATGGACTTCATGTTTACATGCAAACGCGCCCCTCTTT